TTGTCATTGCAATGATGAGTCCAAAGGTTTAGGTGTTTTTAGGGAGATGGTGATGGACACAAATGTGAAAGCCACGCGAGTGAGATTCATGCACATTTAATTAGGGACGAGGTTAGACTGGGACGTGGGAGTTGATAACGCACTTGTGAACATGTATACTAAGGGTGGCTACGTTGGCTATGCGTGCTTGCACGAACTTCTCTCTATGTGCATTCGAGGAGTAAGCTTTATGAGCACATCAGCAACAAAATTGTCTTTTATGCTTATATATTAAACGACTATCATACTATTGAAAAAAGCAGAGTGATGACAAGACTTGATCTCATATCGATTTTTATTACATTAAAATCATTGTTGATTATTTGTTAAACTTAAAAAATGGCATGTGTATCTGTGAAATTTAAATAAAAAAAAAGGAAAAAAGAGAAAAATTTAAAGTATCAAGCATTGAATCAAAAAGAATAAAATATTGTAATGATCATCAAAGCAAATACAATAAAGGTCAAAGTGGAACCCCTTTTTATGATGAGGAATCTCAATGTGCAGTAAATGGACCTCTCCAAAACACCCTCTCTTTTTGGACAAGAAAAATATATTAGAAATTAAACTGTATAAAAAGAATTTCCATTAGTGATTTAAAGAAATACATAATTTATAGGATTACCACTGTGGAAAATGATTTTACCAATTTTGGCCCGTATTAATATTTTTTTAACTTTTTTGAAAATTCTATTTTGTTTCCAACAATAAAACATTACATATGGTTCTGAGAATTTAATTTACGATCGACTCTTTTCTTAAGGTTTAAAAATAAACAAAGCTAATTATCTTCGTTAAAGATGATCGTCACATGAGGTGATATATAAATGATAAGATTAATACGTTTCATATCTACATATTTAATTAATTTTATCGTGTCATTGCACATCATACGTCACATAAATAAGTAATTATCTCTAATGCAGATAAGTAGCACTATTCTATAAAAAAAAACTCATAGGTAGAAACATCAACCCCACCATTTGAAAATATGATGTTGGTCGTCTTGAGATGGCCGGCTCCAGTCCTTTGAGAAAATAATTGTCCAAAATAAGCAACAAATGCACAAAAGCAACGAAAAATAAAATGAACACAAAAAGAGGAAAAAAATAGAATAAATGTGATTCAACCAATTAATCGACAACTACAAGGGAAAAAGAATCATTCATTAGAATACTCCGTGCACGCACGTTCGAATTTGCATCCTTCAAACACATCCGAAAATAAGAAAATGTCTAGTGATTCGATGATTAAATAGATTGTCCGAGTTAAAGAATAATGGTAGTGTCCGTAAATTTTCACGACTATCATATGATATGAGCTACTGAAGAAGACAGCTGACCCTATCCATCTATACAATAATAAGGTTTTTTTTATTAGGAAAACCAAGAAAACTATACTAGTAATTTCGTTTTTAATTTTTACAATTTCGTTTTGTTTTTCATATTTTTAAATAAAGCCTCGTTCTTGTAACTCTATCTTGACCTACTTCTTTTCATTGATTTTTTTTTGATATCCAGATATCCACCTTACAGTGACTAAATCCTAGAGTTCACACCTTGGCCTCTCAAGCTGCAGACAGGTTAAATCGCAGATTGTGCCCCAAACTGACCAATGCTCAAGAACCCCCCAACTGATCTGTCAAAGTGCCAAGCAAATCATTTCCCATCTTTGCACATTACCTTCCAGTAAAGCTCCTGCTTTTCAGGATAAATCTTATCTTACCGGAGAATATCTGCCTTTCAAGAACCTTCCAGGAATCGAACTCACGACCTCTGATCTGCCAAACTTGAAGCGCCTTCATCTTTGTCAGTTGGAATGTGCTTGGGGGCACATTTCATTGATTTCTTGTTAATACCAAGAATATACCAAGAAATGAGAAAACAAATGCAACTTCTGATTGGAGATAATAGCGGAAAGAATGTTAAAATTTCTTCCATGATTTCGGTTCCTTACAATTTAATTTACTCTCCCTAGATTTCTGTTTCTCTTCACCTCTAATTTGTAATAAATCATTTGATTTTCCAATCGAAAACTTTGCCTTTATTGTCTGTATATATATAGAATAAAGCTACTCGCACAGGCTGAAAAACAGGGTTGAATACAGGCTTTTGAAATTGCCAACTTGGCGTCAATATTGGAGGGAAAGCCTGCAAATGTGGACCACACTGACAACCCTACTGTCCCCCAAACATGCAGGTGTTTTGGAGGGAAAAAGAAGCTAGCATTGACCTGAATGACCAGCAATCTTATTTCCATACCTCTATTCAACTTGTAAAATATTGTTCCCACCATTTTCGTTTGGTTAGAAAATCATACACCGGGTGTAACCAGAGGTTCTTCGACTCATTGCCAGAACCCAGTTAAAAGGTAAACTTTGATTTTCACTCGTTTTCACATTTTCGAGTTTTTCCCTGAATTATTGTGGTTCCACTGTTAAGAACATATTTGCTGGGTTTTAAGAACATATTTGGTGTTAAGTGCTCTAATTTATAGGCGTTTCGTTACAGTTCAATCATCTTCAAAAGATGTTTTTTATTTCCAGTATTTACATTATTGTATAGAACAATTTTTTAGCAACAAGGGCACTAAAAAGGTTGCCTAATCCAATATATTTGCTGGGTTTTAAGAACATATTTGGTGTTAAGTGCTCTAATTTATAGGCGTTTCGTTACAGTTCAATCATCTTCAAAAGATGTTTTTTATTTCCAGTATTTACATTATTCTATAGAACAATTTTTTAGCAACAAGGGCACTAAAAAGGTTGCCTAATCCAATATGATAGTTACAATCATGTACATGGAATTTATATTTAAAATCGATTTCAAAAATTATTTTTATCTATTAATAACCAGCGATGTTCGAAAAGGAAAGGCTTATTTCTTCTGGAAATTTATAATTTTATTGCCAATTTCTTCTTCCCATTGCCTCTGTTTTGTCAACATGAGAAAGTTAAATTATCCTTTAGTTTTGATAGAGGTCCACTCGTTTTCTCGAAGGGGCTAATATAATCAAAATAAAGAATGCGATAACTAGAGTTTAAAAGAAGAAATAAGACCAAGTGAACTATCCTACTGAAAATTAAAGCAAATCTGTTTATTGAGTGTACATGTGTTATTAAATTACCAGAACTAAAAAGTAGGAAATTAGTCAATTTAATTTAAGAGATCAAGTAATATTAACTACATTTATTTAAATTAAGAGTTTTCCATATACAATATATTCAGTAGGGTATAATGTTATGTCTAGTTTTCCATGACTGCACGTTCTCCCTTCTACAATGATTATCGGTTGCAAATTTCATCCATCCACTCACAAAAAATGTTATGTCTAGTTTAGAAGGTATAACTATGTGTTCACTAATGAGTTTGAACGTTTTTTGTTTTATGAATGCATCACTAATTATTTCATATGGTAATCGATTGTAGGTCCAGGGTTGTCGTTCTACCATATGAACTCGTTTGATGAAACTGGCAGAGGAGTGTGATGAGGCATGTTTCCCCTGCAATTGGGAGCCATCATATATAACTCTATTAATTCTACTATGATCTTTATCCCTTGTAATTGGAATTCATGTATGTTCAAAATGGTAGTGTCCCTTTGTGTTGATTTAAGTTACAGGGTTGTTGCTACTGATATTGCCAATATGTGGTTGCTTTATTTTATTTTTTTCTTTTATATAAAAGTTTTTTAATGTTCATAGAAACCGCAGTACCAATGATCAATATTTTTGCCCAGTGAATGAAGGGAAACAAAATGGAAGTTCCTAGTTTAAATCAATGACATGTCCTTTTAGCAAATCTGTATTTCAAGCGATACTAGGAATTGTTGTATTGACCTTCTCTGGGCCTCTTATGACTAGCATTCAACATGCATCAGATGCCATTGTTGTCCATTTTAGCAATATAGGCATACTCTAAGCATACACTATGATTCCATTTCAGCAATATATCCAGCAATCTAGGCATACACTATAATTAGACTCTACAATGTCCAGTAGAAATCAAATGTGAAACTGAATAAATGTGTTTTGTTGGAGGCCTTATCAGTAACCCAAACAAGAGGTATTTCTGCTTTCAAAACTGATAATTGCTAAGAACATGTTCGGTGGAGTGTATAATCTATTTTATCAAATATGACATAAATATGTGTGTTACAGATTCATTTAGAAATGGAATAATTTTGTTACAACTGCAAGTGCTCCCATAGGCTAATCAAAAGTGAACCTGGGAGTCTCAAAATCCAATAGCTAATGGAATACAACACATTCAACAGACAAATACTGGAATACAACACATGCAACACATTGAGACGTTTCCCGTTTTGCATTGTGACTTCTACAGGTTATTTTCCCACTCGGACGCTCACATTCACCCATATTTGGAGCTCTTCTTTGTCACTGATCCAAACTCTAGAATCGAACATGCGTAAGATTTCTTCCTCTGGGCCGTTCATCGCATTGTTAAGGAGGGTTGAGCTACGACTAGATTCGCCTCTTTTCTCTTCTTTAACGACCCACGATTCCTTCCAGGCATTGTACCAACGCAGACCAATACAGCCAATTTCAATTACTGCCAATCATGAACTGATAGTAAATCCACCAAATACAATGGATTTCAGTTGTTCCATTTCATAATCTTTTCAAATGGAAAAGAAAAGAACATAATGTGATAAGCAATTCAAATATTTAGATCCATGAAAGAAACAAAATATAAGCAGCAACATTAATTGCCATATTTTTTCTCCCATAGTTCAATTTTTCAGAAGTAATTCATTAATAAATTTAACTGATGTGACCACTAGAGGAACACATATTAGTTATCATCACTAAATTGTGGGGGGGGGGGGGGGGGTCAAATAGTGGTGGGTGGGGGGGGGGGGGGGGGGGTGTTAATTGAAATGGTGGAAAATCAAGAAATTTGGAAACGTCTTTCATACACCACTAAATGAAAATTTACATGAGTCAGGGGATCAGTCATTTGTTTTACATGTATACCAGCAGAGGAAATGCTTCCTGAGTAACACATCATTCAATTGGTAGAGGTCCCAAAACTTCAGAAATTTCTTCTTCAGTTTTTAGATTTTCCTTTTTTCTATAACAATCAACAAGCTCTTTAGCATCTGTCTCGAGACCCGTCCAGATGCAACTGGCGTGCGGTGGCGTGCAACTTCCATGCGGTGTCCGAATGTTTGACGACGACCAAATGCTGTGGGTCGTGCGAGTTTAGCAACAACGAGTGACGCGACCGAATACTGTGGGTGGAAAGCCTGGGATGATTTCAAAATTCCAATTTTTTCAATTGAGGGATACGGGGAACTTTTTAGTGTTGCCCCCTTCTTTTCACGACGACCGGGGACCGTTGGTCGTGCGACGACGATCGGCGAGGTGTGTTGTAACTGACTGTGTGTTGTTTTGGGGAGGTAGGGTTCGATTTGGGAAATTTCTTTCCTTCTGGAGAGAGATGTTCGTGTGCTGTTTTGAATTTTAAAAGGCATACCCCCCCCCCCCACCCACCTTAACTGCCACGTCGGCCTGTTTTTGAGCCTGGCTTTAAGCCTGGCTCAATAGCGTGCTTGATATATATATTCCTGGAATTCGGTTGCCGTCGTTTTAACTTTTGATTATTTCTCAATTGCCTGTATTCAGCCAATAAAATTTCGATTCTTTAGCTAAAAAGACCTCATTTTTTTCTTTTTTAATTATCTGGAAAAAGGGTTTTCCGTATAGAGATGATCTCGATGGGTTTTGATTAACTTGGCCTGTTGAGAATTCCACAATTCACCAATAAATCATCATCCTTCGAATTAGGAAATCGCGTTTTTCTAACTTTTAGGCAAAAGGGTCTGCGAAAAATCTAATCTTCATATACGTGTTTTTGTCTCGTAGACTTCTGAAAATTTCAATGTCAATTTCACCAGTTCCTATGGAGGCTACAATGCCTGAAACGGCGTCTTGTTCTGAAGGTCCACGCCGTTTTGGATATCTTAGAGGGGTCCAATGGCGCATAGATTTGGGAATTTTACCATCTTCTCCTTCTTCATCCATTGATGATCTTCGCCTGGTCGCTGCCAATTCTCGTAGGAGGTATACGTATGGTTAAGTTCAATTTACTTCTTAAATTTACTTGTGTGATTAGTTTCTCTATTGAGAGTTCTAATACAATATACTGGTTTAATGTCTGCATATGCACTCGTATTTATAGAATTATTTTATAATCTGAGGATCAGCTGAGGTAGTTTTCCTGCCTTTTTGGTGTAAGTGAGAGTAGTTATCGGAGTTCATCTAGTGTTTTGGCATTTCAATTGTTTGTAACGCGGAAACACATTAGTTGGAACTTTTCGACATTTGTGTACACGTGCTGAAATCAATAAGTGCATGTTTGGTGCACTGGACAGGAAGTGACTGGAAAATGAACAATATTTTAACTTCTTTTTTTCATAGTACTGTACTACCTAATCCTCTCTACCAAACATGCCATAAAGTTCATATTTATTAAATATCAGACTTCTGCTATTTGAATGTTTTCTGTTGCAGTGTTTAATTGTGGTGGGATAGTTTAGTTTCAATGGAGTTGATCATGTAGTAGCATATCATATCGGTCATTTGTTAGATCATCTCCCTTTACGTTTTTAATGATAATGGGACAGAATCTAGCAAATATAGCATTGGATTCAAAGGGAAAAAAATTTAACAAACGCTTAAATTTTTACCATGTCCTTTGAGCATTTCATTAGTGGTTATTACATATGCTATATTTTTTGCAATTTCACATGGAAGTCTTTTTCTCTTTCTATATTTATTTATGAATTTCTGTAGGTATGCTGCTTTGAGGAGGCAGCTTCTAATTGATCCTCAAGTTCTGAAGAATGGAAGTTGTTCTCCTGATGTTGTCATGGACAATCCACTGTCACAAAATCCAGGTAGGATTTCAACAATATCCGGGCAGTGTTCATCACCTAGACTTCTTTCATTCACTTTTGGCTTCATGAAAATCTCATAAAGCTCTTTCATTTTTTATTGGCATTACTCTTTAAGTTTTCTTGACTGAGACTGTTCGTTTGATTTCTTTGACTGTGTCAGTTTTCCAATCTTATTTAATATCTTACAAGTGATTATTATTAAGTCTAGAAACTCATGTGGAAAGTTTAATTCTAAGTTATCCACATTATTGTTCATCGTTATGCAGATAGTATGTGGGGTCGCTTCTTCCGGAATGCTGAACTGGAGAGAATGGTAGACCAGGATTTGACACGTTTATATCCTGAACATGGTAGCTATTTCCAGACACCTGGATGCCAAGGCATGTTAAGACGAATTTTGTTACTTTGGTGCCTTAGGCATCCAGTTTATGGTTACAGACAAGGTAGGTTGAATTGTTTTCTTTCAGTTTCATGTTCACTGTCTGCTGCTTCTGTTTTCATCAATTAACAACTTTGCCCATTTTCATGTCTTTGTATTCCTATTATATTGTTGCCGTGAACTCCATTTAGGCTTAAGGAATTATATATTAAGCAATGCATCAACGTGATGCAAACATATATATCTTTTGTGTTTAGAACGTATTATGTATCGCTTCACAAATTGAATTTCAAAAAGACTGTGACGACCTGGGTCTCCATGTCTAAGCCATTAGAAGATAACGTCTGTCTGCTTTGGGTGGGCTTCTTCTCACTTACCGCTCACGACTTTCTATCACGTTTTCCAGAATTCAAACTCAAAATTCTTACTTAATGAGAGACATAAGTTGATTCCTAGTACCAATTGGTTGTGAGTCGAGGCAACTCACAAAGGAACACTCGCCTTGTCATGGGAGGAATGAGGATAGAGAAAGGCATAGGGGTGGGTAGAGGCAGAGAGTTCCCTCGCCACCATGGAGAATGCACGTATTCGAGAGATCAACACGATTATTAGGGGGTCACATGTAGGAGGCGATTCTTGCAATGCACAAAGAAACTATGCTAGAGAGGTCATGGCCAGCTACCTAGGTAACCATTCCTAGAAGGCAATGCCAATAGAGCATATCATGTTTACCCAAGAGGACATGGCAGGTTTGTATTATCCCTACTGTGATGCTTTAGTTGGTATTGGGATTCAACTTAAATCTCTCATTAGGCAGAGGTCTTGAGTTCGAATCTTGGGGGACGTGATAGAATGCCCTAAAGAGGTAAGTGGATAGATATCCACCCAAAGCTTACAGTACGTATATTCTAACGATTTGGGCATAAGAGGCCAAGGTCGTTACAAACAACACGCACGACCTGAGCCTCTATTCACAAGTCGTTAGAACATACGTACTGTCCGCTTTAAGTGGACGTCTGTCCATTTATCCTCTCACGGCTTTTTATCGCATTTCCCAGGATTCGAACTCAAAACTTCTACCTAATAAGAGACTTAAATTGAATCTTGGTACCAATTGTAACGACTCAGGCCTCTATGTCCAAGCCTTTGAAACATACGTACAGTCTGCTTTGGATGCGTGTTTGCTCTCTTACCTTCTCACGGTTTTATATTCCATCTTCCAAGATTTGAACTCAAGACATCTGCATACTGAGATACTTAAGTTAAATCCTGGTACCAGTACAAGAACTTTTAATTTATTTTTTCTAATGGTCATCACAACCAAGTTCATTGCATCATTCCATAAATTCTTTCGTCTGTTAATGATCAATGCTTAACAGCACACATGCAGGATACCCTTGTCAAAAGTTTCAAAAATGATAAGTTTTCTCAATTTTCTGGACTTACAGAATTTTTATATGCTGTCATTCATAGGGATGCACGAACTCTTGGCACCTCTGCTCTATGTTCTTCATATTGATTTGGAGCTTCTTTCTGAAGTGAGAAAAGTTTATGAGGACCACTTCACGGACATAATTGATGGCTTCTCATTTCATGAAAATGATTGGACGCATAAGTTTGATTTTAAGAAATTACCCGAGTACATGGAAGATTGTAATGGATCCGAAAGTCCTGTGAAAATTAACAGTCTTGGTGAACTTGAACCGAAGATACAAACCATTGTTTTGCTAAGTGATGCCTATGGGACTGAAGGCGAACTTGGTGTTGTCTTATCCGAGAAATTTTTGGAACATGACGCGCATTGTATGTTTGATGCTTTAATGAATGGGACTGGTGGTGCTGTTGCCATGGCAGAATTTTTCTCTCCATCTCCTTTTGGGGGTTCTCATACTATGTTCCCCCCTATAATTGAATCTTCTGCCGCACTATATCATCTTCTTTCCATAATTGATTCATCTCTTCATAGTCACCTTGTTGAACTTGGAGTTGAGCCCCAGTATTTCGCTCTTCGCTGGCTACGGGTTCTATTCGGGCGTGAATTTGCACTTGAAGACCTCCTGGTAATCTGGGATGAAATTTTTGCATATGAAAATACGAAATTCAATAAACCTGGTACTAATGATGCTGAGTCCAACGTTGGAGTCCTCAATTCGCCCAGGGGAGCACTCATTGCCGCTTTTGCAGTTTCAATGATACTTCAATTGAGATCTTCGCTGCTTGCCACCGAGAATGCTACTTCCTGTCTTCAAAGGCTGTTGAATTTTCCAGTCGATGTAGATCTTCTCAAACTGCTGGCTAAGGCGAAATCATTGCAGGCTCTAGCGGTAGAAGCGATCAACTCAACGCCACTCCTGATTCTTCCCCGGTTGCATGGAAGACGTAACGCAGGATTTACTAAGGCTCATATTCCTTCTTTAGATTTAACTTCTCCAAGAACTACACTGAATATGGCACATGAGAGCTACTGGGAAGAGAGGTGGAGAGTTCTTCACATGGAAGAAGAAAGAAAGCAAGGCTCTTCTGCCTCTGCAGAAAAACAAGTTCCTAACCGCAAAAAAGGTTGGTCAGAGAGGGTAAGATTACGCCTGTCTAGAACCAAATGCGATCCATTCCGATCTAAGGCCACTTTCAGAAAGAAGAATGAGACAGATGAAGGTAGGAAAAATATTGGGGGTGATGTAGATTTTGGCCACAAGATTCCAGCTGAGGTCGAAGAACAAGATGTTAAGGATACTAACTTCAGTACATCTGAGACAAGATGCTCGAGTGGATGTCCAGGGAATGAAGAGAACTCATCCAACATCTCAGATTTATCAACCCCGGTTAGAGGGACTAATGATTATGTGAACATGTCGGGAAGAAGTAGTGTTGCATCAAACTTTTCTGCTGAGGAAAATGATACCGATTCTGTTAATTTTGAGCCATTGCAGGCTAATCCAGAATCTTCACCTCTTCCGGTCTCAGAGTTGGACGAAGATGACGACACTTTAAACTCTACGCAGAACTACCATTCTGTCATAAAACAAGCTGCAGGCATTAAGGAGCGAAAACTTCTCTCTGATAAGTTTCAATTGTTTTGGAAGTTTGGGCGCAACATTAATGAGGGAACATCTGATAGAGCTGCTGTATCTGAAGATGCAAAAGCTTGTGACAGTGGAAGTGATCGTAACAATGTAGCTGGCTCTTCTATGGTTAATGGATGTAATAGCACTTCTGGGATAAGCAAGGCGGAGATTATTGACCAGAATTTGATATTTAGCTTGAGTGATCTTGGGCAATCCATGCTTGAGAACATCCAGGTACTTGTAAGGTTTAAAACTTCTACATCAACTAACTTTTTGTTTCCATATATGTGTGCATTACTTAATTTCTTCTACCTTTAAATAAAAAAGGTTTTCTTACTGTCTAAATAAGTGTTTATTTCCAACTTCATCCAATAAAAACTTACCTTTTAATCTTAAATAAAAATGCGTCAGGCGATGATGTCCCAACTTCCACTCGAACATGCCATGGGATCCTAATAAAGATGATTCTTTGAAAATCAATGTGCAAAAGCTTGATAAAAACAAGTTGTTGGAAATTTTGTCATAAAAGCACTATAAATTGGTGAAGTATACTAGAAGTTATATAGAAGAGGTATAATAGGATTCTCTGGGTTATTATGCATAACCTAAGCTTTCGCAGATAAAGTTGTCTGATGTGTCTCATCAAACTAAGATAACCTATTTGGCTTCATGATAGCAAGGTTTTGTTTTCTTTATAAATTTGTCGATAGAATATTCAAAGTGGTCTGATGATAAAAGGTCACAATTCTTCAGAAAAAATATACTAGAAGTTATATAGAAGAGGTATAATAGGATTCTCTGGGTTATTATGCATAACCTAAGCTTTCGCAGATAAAGTTGTCTTATGTGTCTCATCAAACTAAGATAACCTATTTGGCTTCATGATAGCAAGGTTTTGTTTTCTTTATAAATTTGTCGATAGAATATTCAAAGTGGTCTGATGATAAAAGGTCACAATTCTTCAGAAAAAAGTTGTACAGTGACTAGGTCTAGATTCTGTAAATTGTCCTTTCTGTTCTTTGTTGGAATAGAACCTTAAATTTAAGTATATTATTGTTGTTATTTCCCCATCGTCGATATGTTCCATCTAAAAAATCTTTGATGCTGTATCCAATCACCAATCTGGAATGTTATAGTCGTTATTTGTTGCTAGCCTTACAACTAAACTAAAGGATCAAACTCAATCCTTCATTTCCCGTAGTATGGATCTTGAACGTCCTTGATATATTTCTTTCCAAGTTTGGCACAATCAATTCATTTTTCCCTGTAGGTTGATGCTGCCTATTGAGCATATCTTGAGCATTAGCTATCATTTGCATTGCAGGTTATAGAGTCAGTTTTCCAACAGGATCCGGATCAAATGGGATCGCTGGAGAACTGTAAAAATGCAATTGTTGGCGAAGGACATATTACAGCCATGGCAGCCCTTGAAGAGCTTCGAAAAATTAGCAATCTTTTGTCTGAGATGTGAAATCGACGTTTTAATATCAGATGTGTGCATATATTGTTATTATTTCTTTCCTTGAATGGCAGGAAAAATGGTTCTGCAGTTTTGTGTGTATATACATTTTTCTTCCTTAAAATTTGATTTGTATCATAGACAGACTTGTATATACAGATTGTGATGAATGGTTTGCTCTTATTAATAAGAAAGCAATTATCAGATCATGTCTGCTGAATTTGCTTCAAAAAAGTTTGAAATAAATAAGGAAATGCATTTGCAATCGAACATGTTCACAGAGAATCCTAAAAACAGAAATTCCCCATTATCGAATGGCATCTCTGTAGCAACATATTACTAACACGAGCCTCAAAACCCAAATTGCATAAAGACCAGAACCATGTTAATTGATTCATAGCAACAGAGGGAATGGTAGAATCATAACCATGAGAACTTCTACGAACTTCTATAACTACGCCTCTTTCTCTAATCCCAGGTTGATCCCACGGATCATCAAGTCTAATATCTATTAACAGTCTAATCTATGTTGTGAAAGCCTGGGAGAAGTGAAGTGATGAACCCAAAGACGATCATTTGGATCTCCTTCACGATTCCCCACCAGCGGCGATTCCCAACATTACCTTCAGCAGGTTCCACTTCATGCTCATTCTCAAATGCCCTATTCCCATCATTAGCTTGCGGATTCTCATTCTGACCTTCAGGTTGCCCTCCTAACATGTCAAAGATCAACACCGTTAAAAAACTTATACCGTTTGAATCACAGAGATTTTGAAAGATACCGAAATGAAGTTATGGAAATATTTAGAGAAAAATAGAGCAGGAGAGAGAGGTGAAAACAGGCACATGTTTTGCAAGTGTGTCGTCTATGAAAGTGTTTTTAGCCATTTATTGTCTACTTCCAGCGAAAATAGTCTCCTACTGATTGGAAATATTCCAGAACTAAATGAAGATAGAGAATAACCAGCTAGCGGAAGATGAAAGTTCCATTCCAATTCAATCTTCCATTTCTATTAGGTAAGGGTGATGGACAAGGCAAAAAGAAGTGTTGAATTAGAAATATCACACACAAAAAGAACACTCCCATGATTCAATTGCGTAATACAAATGACATGCAAGAAACACAAGAAACTAGTGCAAACAACCTACAGGTTAAAACGGTGAAGTTAATCCCAGCTTATGAGTTATGAGGAAACTGTTGGCTGTGATTGCTTACTAAATCCTAATTTAATATGGAAAAAAATTTCCATCTAAATTTTTTGAAAAGTGCATTCATTTAGGCCTCCATTCGGGCAGCTTAATTTAAAAATAGATAGAATGAATGGTGGATAAGTGGATAGTACTTGTAGATCCATTGACATGTGTGGTTGAAAATGAAGTTTGACAATTTATAAACAATTTATAGATTTATCCAAACGGCTCTAAATATCTGAGATTTGGTACCCCATAAAATATGATGGATAAAAACTGCTAATGTTGGTCCAATGAGAATTGAACAATCAAACAAACCAACAAAAGTAGAGGGGTTCCACATGTATTTCTTTGTAACTTGTATGATTCTTATGCATTATCGAGGTCATTAACAATCAAGCGAAGTTTCTTCAAGTTATTATATCAGCGACGGATGTACCTGCGGCAGCAGCATTTTCATTTGCTTCCCTTTCAGCAGCAGGAACATTCTCTGCCCTGACAGCTCGCCTGCGTGGTTCGGGGGGTGCAGCTGCCCTCTGCATTCCTTGTGAAAGCCAACGTACAAACGGTGCAAGAACTCCAGTTTGATAACTGCATTACCCAACAACAAAAAACTTAATCCGTGTGATTAAAAATAAAAATAATAAAAATTAAAAATAAAAAAAATCGATAAAGAGGAACGGGGCATCCTCAAAGAACTTATACTGGGCGCTTGGCGGGAGTAGGGGAGAATGGGATAACAGAAGATAAGAAATTATGATTTAGTTCTTACAAATAAACAAGTGAAGCAAAAAACACAAGGAGAGTAAGCCTTTGTCTGGATCCATCTTGGCTAAACAAGAAAATCACTGCAGCCAGCTTTAAGATAAGCGGTATATCAAGATGAAATACAATTTGAAATCTTCGCACGATAACTTGTCTCTGGGGTCCAGGCTGCTGTTGTGGCTGGTTCTGTGGTTGCTCACCTACTTGTCCTTGCACATCTCCCGCTGCTCCAGTCTCTGGAGAACTGCGTTCACTGATTATAACGTGCACCCGGAGTCTAAATTAGATGTTGGGAAAAAAAAAAGAAAAAAAAAAAAAAACTGAAGCTCTTTTTACACTTAGTCTTCAGTTTAGTTAAGCAGAGGAAAGCTAACGAATGCAGCCGGCAATCAACATGAAACAATATGATATCTTCTGACATGCTTTAATTAGATCACGGGAAATGTGTGAATTAAGTCCATGAGACTTAAGGTCACTGCACACACCACATGAAAATATGACTTAATGGACAAAAAAAGAAGTATTGCCAATCTCAAGCGTGCTTTATGATCAATGCTTATTCGGTTACAATGAAAATCATACACTTTATCTCATATATATAATCTATGAATGTTATACACAAGATAAGGAGAACAGTAAAATTTGCAACTGTTAACCTTCGTTACAAAAGTGGGATAATAAGTACTGGCGAGGATTCTTTGTCCTCCTAATGCTCCCAAATGAATTATAGAAGATAATTTCATATCTATCTATAATAACAGATAAAATGGTTAGCTTCTAAAGTAAAGTCAGTGCAGCAATACTTACACAGGTACATTGTAGGTAAATGGAATAAGAGTATTGGGTGGAAATCCAGCAATAGGCTGCGCGAATGGTAGAACAGGAACAGCATAAAGGCCAGGTCCACGATTCATTTGTTCCTCGTTCTGCTGAGAATATAACTGAGGAACTAGTGCAGGGTACATGAATGGGAACATCTGAACGTCGCCATTAGGTGATTGTAAGCCATGGAATGCTGGTACCTGTAGAAACAAATGCAAGGAATTAGTGCACAACAATTAAAATCGGGTAACTGTTCCATTGACTCACACTACAGGAATTTATATGCATTCATCAACAACATGCCAGTTGCCACAAATGAGTTACTTCTACAAGTATCGCTAATACCACGTATAGAGCCAGAACAGGCGTCACACTTACACGATTGTTACCATCATCAATTCAAAATAAGCCTAAACAGATTTTGAAACCTATCCTTCTATTGTCTACTCAGATCATTTTTCTAAATTTGTAGTTTCCATTATTCAAGCCAAACCAGACTGGCTGGTTTGCTCTGAAAACCAGTAACCCATGAGCCCCATCTATGAAACCAGTTAAGATTGCTTAATTGGATACCCGGCCAAAAACAGTCCAACACTGGGGGTCTTTTAAATAAACCAGATTTTTTTTCTTGACAGCTCCAATATGAATCCAGATTGCTTTGCACAAGATTCAAAAATGGGACCTTGACGTTAATTGATCGGACTTGTTTCGACCAACCACTTTTCCTTCTATGTTATAAAGATATCTAATAAATAACTTATATATTGATTTTGAAATGGTTCATGATACGTTTCGAACATATTTTGTATATTTATAATATTTTGAATTATTTAGTAGCTTTGTCTTGAGGCTGACAGCACGCCTCACCTCAAAGAAGTAAAATGCCTCAATACCTAATTGAGTATTTATAAACATTGCTTATTCATGATGTTTTTATTTACATAGATATTTTTTAGGCTTCCAACCTGTTGAATCAATGTCCCACTAACCCAGCTCCACCTGGTTGGAGGCTGGGCCAAATCTAATAACTATGGTTAAATGGATGATACCAAGTTACCAACTATGAGTGCTTAATCCTTCGAACTAATATAGACATGATTCACGTCCAGAAATTCAAAATTTGAGCCTGTGTAAAATATACTATGGGATAGGAAAACAAATTCTTTACGAGCATTTCCTTTCATGCACAAGAAGGATTCCACAGTAATAGATAGTTTCATCGTGCTATATGGTTTACCAACTAGAATAAACAGCCAAAAATATTCCAAAAAGTCACTTCTGTGATATGATAAAGTTATAGAACACATCCCTCAATACAAGGCAATGAATAACAGGCATTTTCTATTAACAGTTGATCTTTAATATCATCTTTAGAGAAATTAATGAACATACGTTTTTGGCAATTCCCCTTAATAATGCAACTTCACGTAGCAAAGAAACAGAATTTGTACAGAACGCCACGTGCAGTCATTCCGATTCACAGAATTTGAATGTCCTTTTACTGCTAGAATAAGTATCAATAAAGAAGAATGAAAATTTTTTAAAAATGATACAATTCAGAACGTGTCTTTTATTATAAATATATACTTCTTAGGAATTGAAGATAGAATTCTGGGAATTACCCCACACAACACTTGTTCCTCCACTCTATTCTACTGAAGGAAAATGTTCTACAAAACAAAGCAATAATAGAATAATATATTCAATAGTACAAACCTATCGCTCTATGTTCATCAATCATCATAGATCATTATCGAAGTAGATCAATTTTGTCTAATCCCTTATTCATGGAAAGAATTCTAGAAAACCTTCAAAATTCTATCAGTTCAAAAATCCAACAGAACCCTATTTTCTTAAATTCGGCAACAATAAATCCATATGAACAAAAGAATCCATCATAAAATACCCAGAACACCTAAATGCATTTTTAGTACGTAATTAATGTGGAAGACCGACCAATCTAAAAAAACTTCGCACATCCACAAAAATATACTATAATTTGAAGACAAAACTAACCCAGAAAAAAATAAAAATTGTTAAACTATTAAAATTAAAGCATAAACAATCACGACTTTTAAGTAAATATTTACTCCGATCCAACAAGAAAATGAAATGAAAAAAAAAAAAACAAACACACACACATTTAAACACAATAGAATACATCCATTTGATGCACTCTATTTTATAACTGTAAAAATGCAAAAAAGAACTGGAAATTAAATAGTAATTCAATTCTTCTCCCAAAAAAATAGCGAAAAAGTAAAGGAAACGGGGGCACCGACCTGGGTTTGATTATTTTGATACTCTACTTCTTCAGAGGATTTATTATGATCAGAAGTAGAGCTGGAGGCCTGGGTTTCAGGCAATTCCGCCATTGAAGATTGTTGGTCTTCGGCTCCGGAGATGCAATGGGTTTGGGGTTGTTTGACAAAGCTTTGGCGGTATAAAAATTTATAGAATGTGTGGTTAAAAATTGTTAGAAACTAAATTTATGTATGGTATGAAATGTTAGTTAAAATTAATTGTCAATTTTTAGGAATTTTTAAAATTAATTGTAAATGAAAAACTTATTTTGCTTGACTCCATTATTTCTTATTAAATTATAATTTATTTTTTTACCTCTTCCTATCAATCACATCCTTTAATAAAAGAATCAAGTTAATAAAATAATATTATATGTAAATTAAATTTTTTTTTTTAATCACATATTCTCTAAAAAAATTACTATTCATCTCATTATATAGAATTATGCTTTATTTAATATGTACATGCGTGTGTATTAATAAAATTCTTTGTTTTTCATTTATTTTCTCTTGAGATCTTTATACGCGTCAATATTACGTGTCACGGATATAAAATTTATAGGAAACTTGTTTTTTTTCATTTGAGGATTTTCATTCTCTTATGTTCTTTTTTCTAGGATAAAATAGTACCTGGACTCCTCTCATGTAATAGCCGTGCTAGATTAGAAATTGTGATTCAAGAATGGTGAACCAAATTGGATGTTTTTGCGTTGAATAACAAACTAATGACAATGTGATCGAGCAAAAGAAGTTTATATCGATCGAAGTTGAAGATAACTTTCTATGTACCATCATTTTAATTTTGCTCTAAATGCTTCTATTATGTCTGCTATTATGACGTTCTTACACGAGATAAATTGTAGTTCTAGCATCTTCGTCTATAGATATACGAACAATGTGATCCACAATGTTGCTTCCTATCTACTATTTATCTAGTTGAAAATTATTGGTGTGACAGTATTTCAATTTTTGTCTCGTCAATTGTTCGCGGCCATTTAAACTAATTATTATTTTGTTTGATTTTCTCAAAAAAAAAAAAAAAAAAAAAAAAAAATGGGGGGGGGGAAAAAAAAAAAAAAAAAAAAGAATGGAGGAAGGGGTGGGGGGTGATATTTAAAAAACATAAATGAATTTCAAGCTTGATACAATAAGGTTAGAAAAAGAATTGTTAGTCGCTTTAAATAAATGGAAACATCGTCCACTTGCAATGCTAAATTTACCCATGGTACATTTTATAGGAACATATTTACATAGAAAATTTTGTGTTGAACGAGTAGTGAACCACGTTGGATGTTCCTGTGTTGAATAATGAACAAATAACAGTGACAACCCTGCAAAAATTCCAACTCATATTTAAGAAACAACGAAAAATATGAAAGAAAACATCTTGGGTCTGTTAGGCAAGTAGGCTTGCAACAGACAGACAATATTACTTCATTCCCATAGTAAACAAACCTTGTGCGATTATATAAGTTCAAAAATATGGTTATGTCCAGTTAAAATTAAACCACATAATCTAGAGTTAATTGTTTCAATACACATCGAACTTTGAGTGAGGTCACGTTTTACTCACTGTACTTTAATTTGCATTACATTACTCACTGAACTTTATGAAATTGCACTCCATTACTCACCGAGCAACTTCCGTTACTAACCATTGCTTACGTGGATAACCAAATATACATGTGGCCAATTAAATCTCTCCAATTCAGAAATCCAATGCCAGCTCATTTATTCCCAAACACGCCTAAAGTGCAAGCGTGAGATGAAACGGCCCAAAACGCCCAGCTCCCTCCTCCACCGCCTCCACAAGTCTGCACCATTAGCAATTTAGCATCCACTTCTTTTGTCTTCTTCCTATCAGAAATCTGTTCGAATTTCTGGGGTTTTCTTGCTTCAATTTTGACTTCAAGGGTTCCTTAATTTTGTTTAAAAACTGTTCTGAAATTATGCAATTTTGGGTTCGCTTTTTATATAAATATCTTCAGTTTTTTGTCTTCTTTGAGGTTTTGTAATTTGTAATTCTTCCCTTTTCGCCACTTCACACAAAATCCCATTTCTTCAATCACCAAATTTTATTTTGTGTATCTTGCACACACTCCCATTCCAAGATCAATTTGCTTGGTCACCACTTGAATGTTAAAGATGGTCTACCTCCATTACCATCAACCGAGGTCCATATTATGACCTGAACACGGATCTTGTTCACCAACCATTTCTCTTGACTGCATTTTTGAACAAGTTGGGCTCAGACCATTGAGCATATCAGTGAATTGCCCTCCACTTGATTCAGTACAATAAGTTTTGAAACCGGCCACCTTAAATTTATGCCTTCAGTGGAAACGATTTAGTGATTACAGCTGTAGTAGAAGTGGATGCTAATGGTCCAGACACGATCGTCGTGGAGGCAGTGGAGGAGGCGCTAAGTGTATTGGGTGGTTGTTTCGGGAAGAAGAGGGGGAGGAGGAGGAGATGCGGCTAGTGATCTTCCTAGAGCCGCCGCCGGTCCAGTAACTCCAGTAGTTCTTGCAGAAGTGAAGCGGTTGAGTAATGGAGGTCTGTCACCTCTGTGTTTGTGAAATAAGGATTTCATCCTCACGATTTCAATTGAGGCGTTTTGGGATTTAATGAGTTGGCATCTGAGTTCTGAATTGGAGATATTTAATTGGCCACATGTATATTTCGTTATCCACGTAGACTATGGGTAGTAATGGAAGTTACTCGATGAGTAACGGAGTGCAATTTCATAAAGTTCAGTGAGTAATTTAATGCAAGTTAAAGTACAATTAGTGAAACATGACTCTGTCTAAAGTTTGGTGTGTATTCAAACAATTAACTCCATAATCTATTACTCATTATCATCCAAACATTTAATGGTACCCACCACTATTCCTCCTAAAAAGTTACTAATAATCTTTTGTGAACAGAGGTTATAAAGATCTTTTTACAGAAATAGGGCATAGTTGTGAATGACCTTATCAGTATTTAAAGTCACGGTTCCACGAGATATTTCCATGTTCATAGACAAAACTTCGAATCAAATCATTTTTTTTTGTGTTCTAGCTTGTGCCAAAAATACAGTAGTAACAGAATACAGACTGCTTACCCCAGTGGCCAGTGTTTATAGAGAGATGCAATTCATTCTTGCTCATCGTCGGAGCCCGACTTGATGCCCACTTAGTTCTCATTCCCATGAAATTTTACTTCCACTTCCCCCGCTTGAATTGGATGAATGAGTTAAGCGCCTGCAATAAATTAATGAATCATGCTATAAGTACAAAATTTTTTGACAGAAAAATCTTATAGACAACATATAATGCGACATCATTGGAAGATGAGAAAAGAAGAAAAAACAGTTCACTTACATTTTGTCACATCAACGTTGATATAAGTTCTGTTAATTTTTTCCTATATTTATGGCTTTATTGTAAATTAATGGATAAATAAAATTAATATGTACGAACACCACCAGATAGAGTAATTCTATACATTATAAAACTTGAATTGCTAAAATTTATTTTACAAAACTGTGGCTTGCTTTTGTTACAGTTTTTTTCTGTATCCAATTGTTCAATTTTAGTATCACATACTGCATAAAAGCTTATATTTGAAGTGAATATTATAAGTATTTAAAAGAATACAATTATAAAGTATAATGAGTAACTTAAGTTTATTTATAAAATTTACTTTAAAAATACCCTTGTTTGAGCCCCATTTTTAGGGGAAAAAAGAATTTTTGAATAGTGTATTGTTGAAAAATATGAGGTTAAAAAAAAAAAAGAAAAAGTTCTGGATTTGTGTGTAATATTATTTTATTGAAGAATGTGTGGTTGAAATTATGTCAAAATACTGTTGAAAAATACAATTTTTTCTAAAAAATGGAACTCAAACAAGGGCATAGTTGCTAAATAAGTTTATATAGTAGGTTTCTATGATGCTATAAGATAGAAGTACATAATGATTCGATAATTTGGAGGTCGCCTTGTCAACATGCATGTAGATAAACATAACAAAATTCGTTTTGAGATCCTAAAAAACTATGTACCAATATCAGTAACTTTCTGAAGCAGATATCACGTTACTCTGGTTTTATTAACCTTATTAACTGCCCCCAAATTATAAAAATTACTCCATTACGGATTGCAAAGCCTGATAATTTGAAGGATTTCCAAAACTGAAACTAGGAAATTAAGCTATATAAAAAACCAACACGACGGAAGCAGATAATCACATTTTGTGAACTGACCATATCCCCAAACCGTCGCAAGTGAACAAGTGGATTATACTTGAGGAGAAAGGGTGCTCTCCTATCTTTTAATCAGGAAAGTGGCACATAACAGGGAGTAGCGACTGTTTATTAAAAACATAGTACTCTTGCTATGTGGTAACAGATTTATAGAGTCACACATCTACCAAGTGCTAAAAGGTCGGAAATGTCGAAAGAAGAAGTATTAGTTGCTTTGAATGAAAACCCTGATAACCGAAGGCAATGATGACTGTTATTATTGGGGGAGGAATCAACATGATACGAATCTAGGGAAGAAATTTCCAAAAGGATGCTAGCTTGAGAATTAGAAACCATCATGTTTTCAAGAATGCCACAGAAGAATAGGAAAATGACCCAGCGCCACGGGATAGAAAGAATACATATCATACTAAATTCCTCCATCATATCATCATAAGTAAGAACCTAGTTTCCAGCTGGCTTATTGGAATAGGTAATCCAATTCTCACATGTCCTGGTGTATAGTCCCCGAACCCACGTTGTGATCCTGTAGTGCCAACAAGGTGTGGTGTGCTCAAGGCCGAGTCCAAGTCACACAGATTCAATTCCCCTTTTGAGTTACCATTGACAATGTTAGTTTTACCGATGTTAACAACTTAATTAGCCATTTGAGCCCCATTTTTAAAATTTTTTTTTTTTTTACAATGTGCTTTTTTGAACAATATGTGTTTAAAAAGTAAGGAAATTTTGTAAGTTAACGTGAAAAATTATTTTATTTGAAGAATGTGTAATTGAAAATAAGTTTCAAAAAGTGGAGCTCATACAGGGCTCAATATAATGTCAAAAGAATGTGTAATTGAAAATGAGTTTAGAGAAAAATGAGTTTCAAAAGTTGGAGCTCATACTAGACTCAATTTAATGTC